ATATCTCCGGTGCGCCGCCACCATATTCAGCAGCCTCACCTACACCGAATATCGACTATGAGAAGGCAGTCTTGGCGCAAGATGCTATGAAAGAAGATGCTCCAGATATCTTGCATTTTCTCGACCATCGCCATGACAGCGTCAGCTCCTTATCTCTTCGATACGGCGTACCCACCCATGCTCTGCGACGAAGTAACAACATCACGAGCGACCACTTGCTTCTCGGAAGACGAACAGTACTGATCCCCGGCGAGTATTACAAGGGCGGAGTCAGTCTCTCGCCACGGCCCATCGAAGGCGAAGATGAGGAGCTGAGGAAGGGCAAGATTCGCCGCTTCATGACATCCTGCAAAGTCTCCGACTATGACATTGCTGTGCTGTACTTGGAACAATCTAGCTATGATATTGAGAATGCTGTTACAGCATATTTGGACGATGAAAAATGGGAGCAAGAAAACCCAGCCTCAAGCAAAGGGAAAAAGGCCGACAAATATAAGAACCGTGGCCCGTTTTGGAGAGGACTCTGATGGAGCTTTGAATTGAATATTAGATTCATGGTTCGTACCGTCTTGCGGTTCTCACCACACGCTTCGGTTCGCTGGTTACCTATCTTCTTCCAAGACAGGGACTTTTAGCCCTGTACGTTAACGCCGCCAACAACCCAAACATTTCAAGTTTTTGTGCAATGGATTCATATGATATACTAAAGATACCACTTTTCCTTCATCAGAATGCAGACCGTGTACGAATATCCTGAAATTTGGTTAGCAAACTGTGAGAACAAACGTTGAGCCAGGGAGAACTTGCAGAAATCTTCCGCTCTATCTCTCGGACCGATCGGTCCAATTCGCCGGCAATCATAAGCTTCTTGTCGTTGGGCAAAAGATTGTATCGCTCGCATAGATCGCCGTCAATTACTCCCTTGACAGGGGCATAATAACCGCGATACATGAGATGATCTCGTCCGGCGAGCGGGGGGTCCTCGGTCCTAAGGTGTTGTTCGAGGTTCTGGAAGAAATCCGCATCTTCACGACTGACAAATGGTATGAAAACTCCGATAGTGCCCATGATACCACTCCATAGCAAAATTTCCTGCCCACCAACTACCAGACTCGTTTTGGTGATACTGGTTGGTATGTCCTGTGTATAGAAATGGCACATCAGACTCACTCTGTGAGGTGTACCGTGAAGATATTCTCGCGCATTGATAAGATGTAAGCCCGTTTGCTCCTCGTCGGCCTCTTCACTGGCCTTTTCAGGGCAGCGGACAATGAACATATTTCCGAACTTGTCGCCGCCGGCCACCGACTCGTAATCTACCATGGTTGTGCATGTGGTCCACCTTGCGATTGTATCATCGACAAAGGGAATGAGTTTGTTCGACGCAGGCTTGTATACCACGTAGGTAACGCCCTGTTGAACATCACCAACAATAATTCGACTGCCCTGCGTATTCAGCGACACGATCTGCTGCGCTGATACTTCAGCCTGAGATTTGCGAAGCATCTGTCTCATACCGAGATCATATATACGCAACTGTGTTCCAACTGCAACAGCTACTCTTCCTTGAAAAGCCAAGAGAGCTAGAGGTGGTTCTTCAATCTTGGTTTTGTGAATGAACTCAAGTTCTCGCCCTCCGTCTTGAAATCGGTAAATGTGTAGATATCCTTCGCTATAGCTGCGAGGATTGACTACCATGTCTTTGCCGGTACCAACTACTAAGAAGCTCTCGTTATCTTGGCTCGCAAAGGATACGATAGCTGCACTGACAGCTGCTTCATTGTTCTCCAAATCGATCGTTTGTAAAACCTGTCCTTCCTCAGATAGTGGATCTATCACATTAATGCAAGATGCCCATCGGCGTGTGCCCTTGGGATAGCCAAAATCTTCAGGTGGGAGCACCCTAGAATCACCGTTGACGATTTTCGGGTCTGCCAAAAGTTGTGCGCGTAGTTCGGGCGGTAAAGTGTTGTTGTCTGCCTCAATAGTGTAGAAGAGAGGCTGGTCAGGATGCTTCACAAGTTTCTTCGGGGTATAAGTCAAAGGAATTGATTTCTGGATAAGTGTCTCGCCAAGCCGATCGATATTAAAAATTCTGTTAGTGTTAGCGCACGCTTCGCTTTATGATGCCATAGGAATATCGTAGGAACGTGTTGCTTCAGTAGGAACAATTGGAAAAAATGCGTAATAGGCCTCATTGCTTAAAGCATAGGATCCCGTTTTCTCATCATATGCAACTGGATTTCAGGGGTAAGAAAAAGGAATAATAAACGTACCGTAATGATTGACCTTGGATACCAACAATGCCTTCTTCGCATTGCTCACTACTAAAGTTCCAACCCCACTCGAGGTCGACGTAGTTGAGGGGCGTCACTACGAATCCTTTTGTGATCGGGTCTGCGTAGCCAAGCCAAGGCCTAGAGCTTAGACCAAGCACGCATGTCTTGCCCTGAACTGTGACCTGGAAAAGTCGGACTTCCTTGGGACCGAGGAACTTTTGGCGCGTGTCTGTCAATTCACCAGTGACTTCGTCAAGAACTGTCCTGAGATAGACACCGGAGTGTAGACCGATGTGGAGATAGAGGGTAGAACCGCCCGACGAGGAGTCATCCATGGCGATGATTGCCAACGATGTTGGGGCAGCTGTAAGAGCCTGGACTGACTTGTTTTCCAAAGTCGACTCTGGATCCAGGCTAAGAATACGGACAGTGCAATCATCACAACCGACTGCCAAGAATGAACTTCTTAATCGTCCCTCGGGGACGTCACCCAGACTTAGGCAAGTAACGGTACCAAACATCTCCTTCTTTTCATCATACTCAGCCAGCGAGCCGTCTGCATCCATCTCGAAGTAGACGATCTCACCAGAGCTGAGAGCGACAGCGACCTGATGAGCGTTGGCCGTAGCAGCAACAATAGAGCGATGTTGTGGGGCAGCCCACTCATTGACATGACCATTGCGCACATGTCGAATGCCCTTAGGGTGAACCTGGATCAGTCCATCGTCACCCAGAAGCTGGGCCGCCAGCGTTGGAACACTCGTGAGAAAACCGGAGTCACTGACTTCCTCAACAGTCTCGCCAATACTGAGAACTAGCGTACCGTTGGTGAATGATAGTACGATGTAAGCATCATACTGTTCTGAGCGATTCAGCTTCAGCGTCCAAACAGCAGAAGGAATTCCAGGCAGCTCAGAGGCAACGATTTCATTGACTTCCAAACCATGTTTGAGCATCCTGAAGCTACTTCGGGGCCCATTACCACATATGGTATAGATTTGAGGCGCATCTTCTCCAGTAAGGTTTGCGACTTTGCAATCTAAGAGGGGATTCATGGCGGGGATGCTCTCAACAAGGGCCAAGTTTTCAGTTGGCCGAGGATGGAAGTAAACGGGTTCGTAAGAAGCTCTGGGATCCGCCGGGAAGTCATCACTGTAGAACTCCAGTTCCTCATCATCATCACCGAGCTTTTCAAATTGGTAGAATGAGTAGTTACCAAACTGAGAAGCAACGTAGAGGAAACCACTTTTCAAAATGCAGAGACTTGACGCGACCGGAACGGTGTCGAAATACTTGATCTTGAGTCTTTTGACTTCTCCAGTGGGATTGCCTTCCTCATCCTCAATCATATCGATCGAGAGTTTGAAGAGATCACCATCGTCTGTTTGCAAGAGGAAGAAAAACGCGCCTGCACTGCCTTTCAGCTTGTGCATGATACCGGCCACGATCGTGCGTTTGCGGTTTGGATCTTCAGTGGCGCCACGTCGACGAGGGATGGCAACACGGAACGCTTCCTGATTTGAGTGTCGATATGTGATATTTTCCTCACCGCACACGAGTACACCACTAGGCCCATCATTCCCACCAGGGACCTGGAACAGAATTGATGCTGTTGGGTCAACAGGATCTGACCACTTGCGCACAACGTGATTGAGTCCCAGGTCAAGCTCGTAATAGACCAATTGAGTGTCCAACTCTTCCATTGCCTGACCGGTCGAGTCTTGGTCAATCTCAGAGTAGTCGATCTCGAGAGCGGCAAACACTGGATTCGAGTAGCCGACATCAAGCGCAACCATAGAGATGACTAGGACACCAGGTTTGTGGGCCTCAAGAGGCGACGAGATTGTGAGCTCGGCTTGTGAATTACGGTTGAGGACGTAGACAAGTTTGTTCTTCTCAGTTGAGGCAATTAAGCATGCTCTGCCCTTAGGGTCGCACGCCAGATACTCGCCAGGAATGACTCTCCGCACACCGGATTTGCCGAAGGTTTCGAGATGTAAACGCTGAAAGCGATTCTGAGCAGGTAGGTACTCGATGATTGTGATCCGACCTGAGTCGGATGCAATGATCAAGTAGTCTGGAAGTTTTGTTAGCCTTGGGGTTCTTGTAACAGGACATCAAGTACTCGGTAGCGCTGTGGTCGACGCGTCTGTGGCATCGCTTTCGAATATCACTAAGTGATTTTCCTGAGAGGGGTATTGGATTGACTTACCCTTATTGCTACCAGCTAACCGGAAGGCGGCGAGTGAACGGATGATGCCAAAGACATCATGAGACAGGAGGGTAATCACCTTTCCCTGGGATGGATCGGGTCGTAGTAGGGAGAGCTGCGAGCCAGCAGCAGTGATGATAAGCTGCTCTCTAGTGCCTGCGAACTGGCCCAGGACCGCTTGCGTGACGTTTGTCGGCGGCTGAACCGTCAGCGAGTACAAGAACATGTTCGACGTGGTCGCCATGTTTGCGGCTAGGCGCAGATGAGCCTGCGCGGCTTCAAAGACAAAGACAGGTCAGATTGTGTCGCGTCGAAGCTGATGGTTGGAGCTTTTGAAACTCGAGCGAGCTTTGATGTCAAAAAGTTTGGCGCGCTTCGGAGGAATTATTTTGCGGCGCAGAAGATTGTGGTCCGAGCTCTTTGAATTATCCCACTTCAGTGATATCAGGCCTTCCGAAGAAGCCTGGGTATTGAATTGTGTCCGGGATTTGGCTGATTTTGTCCGTAAGATGGAGCCAACTCTGAGGAAAGCAGCCTCGAGCATCTGCGGGCAATGTTCTGCAACTGTTCGGAGGCAATTGGCCTCTGGAGCGGCAGCTAAGCCGTGGATGAGGATATCAGCCCATCATGTCCGCAGACACTCAACTATCAAGGACCAGAAAGGAGCCGCCCCTGCGCCCAAGAACCGAGACTTTTCAACTTCCTCAGTAACACAATCTGAGGCCACCGCATCTGTCACCAACAAGTCGTCTCCGTCGCCATTACGCCTGAGTCAAGATAACCTCTTTCATCCGTTTTCAAAGTCACCAGTACCAGAGTTCCGGCAACGAGCTGCTTTTATGCGACAGCATGCCTACTGCCCTCACCCCGATCATCAGCAAACGAAGCTTCCTACCATTGCCCCGAAACCCGAGGATCCTGAGGCTGCTAAAGGAACCCAGCCACCCCAGCACGTGAACTTTGAATGCCCAGACTGTGGCTTACCAGTTTATTGCTGCGAGGAACATTGGATGGATGATTACGAAAAGCACTTGGAAGTTTGCGACACTCTTCGACAAATTAATGAAGATGACCACGATTTGCGCTCTGGCCGAGTATTCGAAGAAGGCAACCTCCCAGATCTCCAGATGGAACATGCGGCTATCAACATGACAAATTGGGATACTTTCATGTATACACGAGAGTTTGATGCCGTCAACTCTGATCGTCAGATGAGACAGATCACCCGGCTTCTGACCTACCCCGTGACCATTGGCAGTATTCTACATGAGCTTAGCCCTTACAGTATCAAGGCAGGAGAGCGAATGACTACAGAGGGACTGAAGAGTTTCAGCGGTTAGTGCAACGACTGACCAGAGAATAGCCATGAACTGATTGATGTTACCAGCATTGCGATACAACTTACATCCTCCCAAGTCAGGTCGAGGAACCGGTGTTGGCGAGCTCAAACCTGAGGCCCCGGCTGTGAGAATTTTCATTCTGGGAGCTCGTGCTGAGTCTTCACTCCCTCGACCTGCTTGGGTTCAGCTGGCACATATGTTCCCCGAAGCCAGACTACACCTCATCTTTGTTGGACCTGAAAGCATGGCCAACCGTGACGATGAGTTCCCGTTGCCAGAACGCACCCCTTCAAACCCCTTTGGAGCCGTGGTAGAGGATCGCGTCTGGTACAAGATGAAGATAAGTACAATTGTGGATTACTACCATACAGTCCACCAGACTCAGCACTTTGCACCATATGATCCTTACTTCGACTGCTTTGTGCTATTCCACCCTGGTCTGGGCCACCCTGCAAGCAGCCACGAGTGGGAAGAAACCCTCCCCCTTCTCCTTGAGACCAAGATCCCCATCATCAGCACGGGATATACCCAGTTTGACATGGAGCGCGACGTCGAGTGGGTGAACAAGAAGTCGAAGGGAGAGTTTGATATCCTTCTGCAGCCTGGAGAGAACGTTTTCAGGAGTCTTCGATGGGATCTGAACGACATGGATCCTCAGGACATCAGCTGTGGTAACTGGGGGGTGTGGGCATTCCGTGGTAAGAGGTATGTTGTTGTCAATCGATTGTTGAAAACGAGCTGAGCTGACCCTGCAATTGCAGATATGAGACGGCCACAAGGGACGCCTGAATATAGGTAATCTTATGTAAATAAAAGCGAGGAGGTAGTTGTACCAATAATGTACAGAATCTGTAGTATACCGGTATCTATGGTTGGTAGATTAGGACCAGAAGCATTCTCCTTCATCTGAGATGCACATCTTGGAGGAGCGGAAGCAGAAAAAGAACATCTCCTGAAACAGAATTTCCACGTTTGCGTTACTGAAAAAGTACCCAAGGTACGCGATTATTCTGTGGCTTGAACTGTACTCAGTCAATTTATACCACTTTAATCTGTCTGGAATGCCTCTTGCTGTTACTCGGGAAGTTACAGCATGGGTATCTCATGCATGCGGCCTCCCCGCGCCTGCAGTGCACGGTTCAGGCGACGGGCCAACCTGTGCCGTGCGCGGGCAGGAGCCAGGAGCTTAACATGGAATGCATGCGGCCTGCCCTGCGACCCGATGTTAACTTGACTTCAATCCCAAACCTCGAAATCGAACATCGCTCAAACTCGCCATCACCAACTTCCTTCCACTTGATGACCAGGTCATGATACCGAAGACTCGCCGATCACTCCGGTCATGACCGCTACTCCCTCTGTGGCTCCGGCCGTGCCTCCTGCCCGTCCGCCAGCCCCACGCCCCAAGTCGGTGGCCTTTGATACTGAGTCGCCGAACTCTGCTGTTATTGCCTCGTCTACTCGTCGTCCGTTACGCTCTAATACTACCGATCCCTTGTCCGACCGAGCAACTTCGCTTCTGATACGTCGCACCCTCTGCTCCCCTCAGCTTGGAGAGAAGAGCCGCGATTCGCAAGTGCCTATCGACGAGCTGCTTCCACCATTGACCAGTCGCAACGATGTCGACCTTCAGTTGTACGCCCTTCTCGCTATTGTCATGAGAGAATTTGTGCAGAGCTGGTATAGCAAAATCACTACGGACGAACACTTTGTAGCAGAGATATTACACATTATTGCCCACTGTTCGCGAGCCTTGGAACAGCGGTTTCGCAAAGTTGATCTGGAGAGCCTGGTGTTGGACGAGATACCTGACTTGCTGGACAAGCACATAACGTGTAAGGACTTGAACTCTGCGGTGCTGTTCCTATCTGACGGTGACTAGCCTACCGGATCTCTCATAGCGCTATCGCGAGACAGCCTGTTGAGGTCGACCCTCGAGAGGCCTACCACGCCATGTGCCCTCTCCCACACCTTGCGCCAGTCCCTCACCCAGATTTCCCAGACACGATATCCGACCAGAAAGAGAATGAAGCGTTGTATCGCCAATTGCTGGTTCAGGGTGTCCTCGCGATCCTATTGCCCACAGAAGACCTCGAGAACCCTTGTCTCACGTCTCTCGTTGAACAGATCTTTTCGGAGCTTATCATTGGTAACGTTATAGCCAATAAAGCCTCTCAGCCCTGGATGCTGTATGAGGGCATCTGCATCACGGCCAGGGTTTTGCGACAGAGAAATGACCAAGGGGTAGTGGTTGCAGAGAGCCAAAACGATTCTGGTGGACCCAAGGTTGACGTAAAGGGCCGTCGCAGCTGGTCTGTAAGGTCTATGTTCCTCGGCGTCATCCAGCTTGGGATGCTGGTAGTTGCCTCGCTCCGGTTTATCACGACTGCTCTGGTGATGGCATCGTCTCTTCCCGCTAGAGCCACGCCCTTAGACGAAAAAGAAGCTTTGCTGGATCACGACAAGTCTCCGCCAAGGTCATTCGACCCCGTCAAGGCGCCGATCCTATCGTGTCGAGTATGGACATGTCTTGGAAATCTGTTTGAGCTCAGCTTGCGCATGCCTTGGCTGGATGGATTTCTATCACTTTTACAATACGGCGCGGTCAACGGACCTGGACGAATCGCTGGCCACGATGGCCCTATTGACAGGTAAGATATGAGCGTCTCTTTTCCACTTTCTCACACCTATACCGTCACCAGACAGTATTTACCTCGCATGAGTTTCAAGTCACTGGACCTCCTGAAGCTCCAGTGAGCTTTCAGAACAATAATTTCTTCAGCGGCCCATGCCGTCTATAACCTCTCGTTGAATAACATACCGTCATCGGCGCACGCCCTCGCAACCCACAGCCCACAATTACAATACGAGGATAATCAAACCAAGACAACACCTTTTTTCTTGTCATCTTTCCCGTGTCGCGATCATGATTGATATGGGTCTCGGGAGTTGGGCTTTCAACCAATCGAAAGGCATAGCGCTACCTTTGACATCTGATTGCTTGACAAGGTGCACGAAGCTAGGCCTTTTCATCCAGCGAAATGTCAAGATTACGCGCCCTGCCCATGTCAGCTTCTCCAAGGGGACCACCCGCTCTTTGAAGATGCAGCAAAGAGCTTGACTTGACTCTCGCTCCGTGCCGCGCCACCCGTTATAAGGCTACCTTTATCATCTCCGAAGAGGTTATGCTATGCTAGCCTGTTGAAACTATACTCGAGATTTTTTACCGCAGTCTTGGCCACAACACTCTCGAACCTTCCAGGAGCGGTCTGGCTTGACCGGGCTGGTCTGACCGGTCGGCCTCAGCTCTTTCTAAGAACCCGAGACATGCTGGATCCATCAGAGTCTTCTGCACCCTCCACGCGGAACTGTTACACGATCCTTGACGATGAAAGGAGTGGTTCGGGAGCAGGGCTGTCTGGTGATATGCTACCCACACTCAACCGCGGCCTGATTGTATACCTGTTGTGTAATCTCACATATCTATCTGCACGAGAGACCTATACCGACATGGACGACGAATGTGCCTTCTCATCCATTTCCCCGCACCTTGCAAGCCTCGCCTTACACAGCTTCCCCTGGTCCCGATTAGGTCCCTATCCATCTAACGTGGACGGATCAACATGGAGACGCCACTTTATGCGCCAGCCCAAAGAGAATGAAGGCCAATAGGCTATTAGCAGCCTTGTCTCGCCTTGAGCTTTGCTGCTCACCCTCACATTGCATTGCATTGCATCGCATCACATCGGCTAGCCCGACATACATTCGACGTGCCCCTTATTGCATATAACGTTTCCGATCATTGAACCCCCCACGCTGTACTACCTCAAATACAGAGTAAGGCTAATATGTGCTAACCTATCTCTCTCTCTCAGGCTCCTCTCGCATCACGTTAATTCCCTCTTCTCTCCCTCGAATCTGCCCCCTCTTCTGCGTACCCTTCGCGGTGTCCTCTTTCCCAATAACGCCCCCGGTAAGACGACCTTGTTCCCACCATCTTCCGAAGCCGAGCTGCAAGCCCTACGTCGCAGAGCCGCTAAGTCTCTTTGGGGGTTGCTACCGAAGGGTGTGGGAAGGCTTTATTTTGGTGGTCGCTTATGGCGGCGAAGTGCGGAGACCGAGGGTGATTTATCAGATGACGAGGATCTGGTGGATGAAATGGAGCGGCTGCTTCTTGTGCTAGACGATGAGTACTGCAATAAGCATCTGATGTACAGCATTCTTGAGCTGCTACTTGCTCGCTTGATGCCTGAACTGACGGAGAAAAGCGTGACGGAGCTTTGGGAAGAAAGACTTGGCTGAATAGATCTGTAGACTCTCTTTTAGATTGATGATACCCCTTTGTTGACAAGTTAATAATGCTTAATCAGAGATAGATAAATCACAGCGAAATGGAAAGATAATGTTCAAGAGCAAGGACATTCCTAAATGCACAAATGCCGCCCATTCAACTAAAGAAGGGATGCCCTCAACTGCCAGACATTTGACTATCTCCAGTACCCCCTGAGCTGCTCGTGGGCTACGCTCAACCAAAATCAGCACTTATCTCCCCAACCAAAAAGCCTCTTCGGTCTCTTTTCCGTTGCCGCCCCGAGAACCATAGCGACCTCAACAGAGCGCTTCGTAAACCATGTGCCACTTCGTTCCCCGTACCATGTGTCATGCCATGCCATGCCATGCCGTGCCTCGCAGCAGATACCTTCTCATCTTTGAACAGAATACAGGCAAGAAATGACGATAATATAAAGAAAAGAGTGTATACGCAGACAATTAATCCCTCCGCGTCAATGCCGTACAATGCAATCAGGGGAAAAAAAAAAAGACGTGTATGAGAAACAAAGAACATTCAGAAAAGGAAACAAACATTGACAAACGCATGATGTTGCGTTGCCCCTTAAACTGTTGTTGCTGATATCGTCGCCCTGATGTGTCCCCCCTTCTCTGCCACTATGTTGTCCTTGACCCCGTCATTTCCACCTATTTCTGATCCTTTGCCTCTCCCTTCGCATCTCGTATTCAAAACGAGCAGTTATGAATTGTAGCTTCGTGTGTACGATTGTTTGTATGTGATTGTTCGGGTTCGCGTGAGCGGCAGAATAAACTCTCCAAGGGTGGTATCGAGTATAAGAAAAGGTTCGCTCCTGTTAACCTGGGTTTTCTGTTGTTTTAATTTCGGGTTTTTTAATAGTCGGCCAAAGTGCGGTTGGAAATGCAAAACAGAGTGAACAAACAGTTCAAATTGTGGCCAATGCCATCGGATTTTGAATGCTCGAGAGTCCGTTACCCGCGTGAGCAGGACGCTGACCCAAAATGGTCACAACCAAGATATTCTAAGCTCCCTCATGCCCTCGCGGAAATCCCATTTGAAGTGAGACTTGATTGATAAGACATAGGTACGAAAAAGAAACACATAGTCAATACTATGAGTACAGCCAAGCTTCAAGCCGATTCCATCTTCGTCGGCAGGAGGACAGGAGCTTCAACATCGCCTTCAGGGATTCGAGACAGTCCTCCTATCGATGGTCTTCCTTGGTGGATCTTGAGCTTTTTGGTCAGCTGAACGACTGACATATAATCGTTGGAATCGAAAGTGCCAGCAGTCTGGATGTAATTAAGGAGTGTCTGTGCAGCTCGGCGGGCATCTTCCTGGGAGGGCGAGACTGGAGACGAGTCGACAGGTGTAGATGAAGTAGCACTTGTCGCTGCTGTGGATCGATTTATACTTGAGTTGCTGCTACTACGGCGTAGCATCGGAGGGGGTGAGTTGACGTTGGTATCGATACTGAACGGCGTCTGAAGTTCATGTTGTGGCGATTCTAAAGCCGAAGACGGTGCGGTCGAAGATGGAGGATGGCGAGGAGTCATTGGCTCCGTTGAAGATGAGACTTGATTCACGTAGTCAATGTTGAGGGATGGGAATGTGTTGCTTCTTTTTTCTCTGTGCTGGAAGTCGGTACCTCGAAGTTGATCCATAGGGAATCCTCCCACATTGGGGTCGGGAGAGAAAGTGAAAGTGCCTGTCGGGCTCATGGTGCCAGCTGAGAATGAAGAGGCCGTGTTATCTCGAAAATCGCTCGAAAGTGAAGTTGTTGACTGGGACTCGGGATGCTTGTACCCAAAGTCAAAGTCAATTCCATCAGCGTGTGCCTCCTCGTCGCTTCGACTTCCCGAAAGGGGTGAAAGTTGGCCCGTAGGCGAAGGCGATAAATCGCTCGACTTCGTGGCAAGTGTCGATAGTCTTGCACTATCCGGAATGTTGGCCTCTGAAGCCCGCCGCATCAACTTGCCTGGTCCAATTCCATGCTTTTGCTTAAACTTCTGCAGCCAGCTGCTATTTAAATTGTTCAAGACACTCTCCTGGTTTCCACTCGCATGAGCAAAAAGCCTTGCTTGTTCCATGATCTCCTCGTCGCTGACTTGGAATCCTCGCTGTTGTTGTCTCCTGACGTAGTTGCTGAGTGTCCGGTCGAAATCCGGATGCTTGCCCTTGCCACGCTTGACAGCGGCATTTTCTGGCTCTTGATCTCGCTTTAAATACTGATCTTTATGTCTCAGAACCTTCGAAACCGTGCTGTTGTCAAGTTTGTCAGATTCTCGATGGCGAATTGTAACTTCGGATCCAAAATGCCTACCTTCTTTCAACACCGAATCGGGCTCCAATATCGGCTTGTCGGGTACCAGGATTATCTTCATGGAATTGGCACATGGCTCGTTTCTGTTCCGTGGTAAGAGTCTTCCTCGATTTCTCGTGCTGTGTCGGTAACCTAGGGGGCTCCACGGGCGGTGCGCTGGTAGCAGGTGTCATTGATAATGGTGGTGCTGAGTAACTCTGTGAAGGAGCCGGGTTTGTCAGTTGGCTCGGCCAAGTCGTATTTAGAAGGGGGAGTTGATGATGGGCCATAGGAGTTGGGGCTGGCTGTATCATCTGATGTGTTTGCGGTGGTGGAGGAGGCATTCGATTTAATGATTCTGAGGGCAGTCCATGACTGACAAAGGCGCCGAAGGATGGATACTCAGTCAAAGGACTTGCACTATATGGGCTCTGGCTATAAGGGCTCATGCTTGTCCAGGCGTCGTTCCCATACCCATTACTCTGGGCCATGGTGCTATCATGTCCCATTGTAGTTGTCCCATTTGGGTTATTCATTGTTGTATGTGCTGCCCAGCTGGCACTTGATCAGGAAAAGGAGGCTTTGAAAACCGTCTAATAGATTGATAGAGCCAACAGAGTCTCGCCCGTAAGAATTCTGGGAGGACGAGACGTGAAACGGTGGGCGCCGAGTTCCTGGAAGCTGGAAGCAAAGATGGAGGGAACAAAAGACTTGGTGTGATGTTGCTCACATTTGACACCAGTTGATGAGGAGATGCATCGTCTTGCCCGAATTGGTTCCTAAAAGTGCAAAAGTGAATTGAATCCACGTTTGCCGTCGATCACTCCAGTTCCAGCTCAGGGCAATTTGTTCCGTGTTAGATAAGAGTTGATTATATTGCAGCAAACCTTTTGCACAACCCAACCGAAGCACACGAACAATGTAAGCACTCAAACCCGCAGCAGATTCAGCCTCAACGACGGGCAGTGGAGTTTAGAACTCGATAGGCCGCAGAAAGTTGACCTCAACTTCTGAACCTCGAGCCAGTTGCTTGTTTGTGAGCCCTTCCTTTCTCTGAGAGGAAACGGCTTGTCTTTCAACACGCAAGCACACCAAAGTGAGACACGGCGGGAAGTTTCTTTTACTTGCTTTTTCCCTCGTTGAGCTCGTGGAGATTGCGGAGACAGCAGAATAGTCTCAGGATAAACGCGGCAGGGCAATGTACAAAGGCAAGACAAGAACGGATTGAGTCGGTGGAGGGTGGGCGGGCGGATGAGGAAAGCCACAGGGCAGCGAGCCGTAACAATGCCTAGAAAGGACCGCCAGTAGCTCGATCCGGACGGCAATCTCAAGACAGAGTTTTGATGGTGGACCGCAAAACTTGAGGCGGACGTTCCAACACGAGGCCAGACCGTTAGGAGTATATCGTTTTCAAGATGTGTAGTGCAGCGTAGTGTAGTGCAAACAAGCGAGACCTAAAGCCATTCGCATTGCTACATATGTAAAGATGAGACCCCGGAGGTCGACCTTCTCCATATACATATGCAGAACGCACGAGGAATACCGACGAGGGTGTGGGGGGTTTTCCTCACAAGGGGGGGAGGGGTGTGTCCTGTAACTGTGAGCGATCAAGGAGTGGTGTGTGTGTGGGAGGGCAGTGGGTAAAACCCAGAAAGCTTTGTACAGAGTAGACAACTGATGAATTCTGAAGACGCCTTCTTAAGGTGTGTACATGTGCATTTAGGTGTGGATGAAGCTGATGAAGACGGAGAGTGGCTCAAATCGGGTATGACAGGACGTTGAACGCTCAGCGGGAGACTTCACGCGTGTAGGCAAGACAGAGGCTCACACACAGACACATACTCACCCGCCAACAAGCGTAGCAAATTATTGAGAACCTGAAATGGCAGACAAGGAGACCGGCGAGGTAATGGTATGGACGCTTTCGGGCTCGGGGATAGACCGGTGAGCTAGGGTGTAGTACTATGGAGCTCTCAGCCGAGTCTTCTTCTTGTCGTTGATCCTGGCCAAGTCATTGCCAGGTCGGGAAAAGCAAGAGAATAGTCAGCCGTTGGAAGAAGACGTGGGTAGGCACAAAAGCCCTGGCCCGCAGCCATCTGATAGGTGAAGGCTGTCTCAGGAAAGGGTATTCAATCAAAGCAATTCCCATGGACACAAGCTTCTGATCAACGGAACGGGAAGCGGAAGAAGCAACGAGTAAAGCATAATGGGCCGTGGAATAAGACCAAGGAACTCCTCTCGTGTCATGTCGTTCCTCTGAAAGTAATAGGGTTTCCTCGTATCCCCTCCCTTTACTGTTGATTTTACCTTTCCGGCAGATCCAGCTTTGATGGCTAGTTTTGTATTCAGACCTGTCAGCCCATTATTCACACTCTTCTCCCGCTCTTGCTAAATTGCTCAGTAGAAGATTGGCCATGCCCTCGTGAAGGTTGAGCAATGGGAGGGCTCAGAGCCGGTGAGGATGAGGTCAGAAGATGGGGCGTCCCGTATCAGTGTCCACTGCTGGGTACTGTAAAGAGGAGAAGGAAGAAAAATGTCGCGCCCGGGCTAGAGAGATAGTCCATCTGAAAACCATCGACTTGCAGCTTTCATAGGGCATCTCTGTCTAATCTAGAAAGCGCGGCGCGCCAAATCCATGCACTTTGAAGGGCAATGGCTGACTAGGCTTGGTTTAAACTGGAGAAGGTCGAGGGAGAGCTGTAATAGGTCAGACCTTTCTCCCGAAAGGAGTCCACTTGGACGGTTGGTCACCTGTTAGAACAGATCCTCCCCAGACGAAACCTGGTCAGGCCAGGCTTAGGAG